ACAACACTCCTAGGTTTACGGGATGGAGAAAGGGAGTACTATGTTGTAAATTCCAGTTAATTTCTGGAAATTGTACCCTTACCGCGCGGAGCGGTCAGATCTAGGGATAGGCCGGTGGAAGTGGCGTAACGCGTCGAGATTTATTACCTTCCGCGAGGGGTCACAGGGGTCAGAAGGGTCAGACGGGCTACAACTAAGTGCGCCGCTCGGAGAGTGAAACTGAACAGCCGTGTATAGCGTGCTAAAAGGTGAAGTTTTTACAATTTATAAGTATGAAATAATAAATGGGATGTTACAGCTAAAGAATGTAATGGTATCAATAGAAAATCTACAAATTTGGCCTTCGAGTCAAATGTTGGGCAATATATCAATTTGTGGATTGTGAGAAGTAAGCCATTTTGTCAGCATGCCTCACATTTTACAGTTTATCGTCTAGCTTCCGAAAATACAGCTGGTTCGACAAACAAAACCCCCCCACCAAAACAAATTATATCTCTGGCTTTTGAAAGTGCAGGAGGGAAAAAAATTGTCGTCTGGATGTAGTCGAAGCGAAATGTTGTATTTTCCGCACTGAGATAGTTTATATCTGTCCAGGAAAGATGGCTCATCTCCTCCATGTTTCCCGTGGCCTACCCCTGCCTCGTGCTCCCTGTGGGTTCCACTGCAGTGACTGTCTTGTGATGTTTCCGCTGGGCTTATTGAGGGTGTGTCCCATCCATCGCCACTTTCTCAGTCCTATTTCTACTTCTATATTCTTTTGTCCTGTCCTTTCCCACAGCTCTTCATTTCTTATTCTATCCTGCCACTTAATTCTTAGGATACTCCTCATACATCTGTTGATGAAAGTCTGGACGTTATTCAGCACTGTCTTTGACCAATAATACACGAGGGAAAACATTTTTTCAAAAAACACACGTCACTCACCTACGACGTAAATGTAGCCGTCCAAAACAGCCACGCCCGCCCCGGCCCTGCGCTTGTGCATGGGCGCGATCATGAGCCATCGGTTGAGGTACGGGTCGTACTTCTCACAGTTGTCCAGGGAGCTGGTTCCATCATTGCCGCCCAGAGCGTACAGGTGGCCCTGGGGGGGGAGGGGGGGGGGGGCAGGCGATGACGAACAATGGGAGAGATAGTTTTACGTCTTGTTCTGAAGAGATTTTAGTTTAGTTTTAGTAAGTTTTTTGGGGGTTTTAGTAGAGGTTTTATGATGCTCGCAACTGTATAAGTTCCTATGAGCACCAGAGAGTAACAAACACAAAAAAAGGACGAGAGATAAGGACGATAGATGCTTGATAGGAAAGAAGGAGCAAATCACACCAGAGCACCTGCCAACCACCCACTTAGTAAGGTTTTAACTCAATCGCTACGCCGAGCCGTGGGGGCGGCCTGGCTAAAGTGCCGTCAGTATGCTACGCCGCCCCCTGCGGCTCGAGAACCGACGTTCAATTTTAGCTTGGTTTCTATTCCAATCCACATATCCATGTTAAAAGAAAGGTCATAATATAAAGTTGACTTCCGGGTCAAGCGTTTCCACCGAAAATCGGAAGTTTTGATTCAGTTTTGAAACAGGATTTCGTAGTTTATTCGACTTTGTTTTACCGCGATGCTCAAATTATAGCCCAGACACCAGTCTTAGTACTTTTACACAACAAAATCTATCATTATTTTGCACTCTAAAGAAATGTAGGACTCTTCTTTAGAATAATATTGATACGATTGCACTGTTATTGAGAAATCAATATTTTTCCGTGCTAAATCTAGAATCTAGATCAAAATTGTCAAATCATTTTTTCTCTCCAAAAAATCACTATTTTTTGGTGAAATTACACAAAAGTACCACACAAGACAAGTGTAGGTTAATTCCAAATGCAATTCTGAATAATTCCATATACGATACGAGTGTTTTTTTCTGTTTGTGAATGCATCTTGTCCATTCAAGATTATGAAATTTAAAAAAAATGTTTTTCAATGTCGGATGTCATGATCCAAATGTGCAAATTTTATGGAATGTATGTAATTAACTACAAATTTTTCAATATTTTCCAGTTCTTTATTCATTTATGGTTATTTTGATGTATCATTTGACTCGGTGCAAACTTATTTTTTGAGTTTCACCGAAGATAGTAAATTTTTTATTTTCAAATTTTATCCGAATCCAAGCAAAATTGAGTTGCATAATCACCTATTACAGGAACCAAAGTTGAAAAATACACAAATAAACATTACAGATGTATTCTACAAATCATACTGAAAATTTCGGTGTTTAATATGTTAATATTTATTTTAATTTGTGGCCTCAAAGACCTTTGAACTGCGCACTAGTCATCATCTCATTTCGCCTGCCCGAAAAAAATTCGTCCACAAGCCGAAAATAATACGTAGCGAATGAGTTAAGGCACTCGCAACTGCATAAGGTCATATGAGCACCAAGGGGTGGATGTCAACAGAGAAGTCCTTACAGGGAATCAGACTTACACTGCTCACCTCTCTAGCTTCAACAGCACAAAGTCTGCTTCGACTATCAAGGCAGCCCGGAAATAGTAGTTCACAAGAGAGTGACAAACATACAAAAGAAGTAGAGGAAAAATGACAATAGTAAAGATTAGGAAAGAAAAAGCAGCAGTTCCCTGTTGTAGATCAGGCACAGTTGTGAGCGTGACATGAATCAGCCCATTTACAATTCTACTGTGTATAAGGAATGTCCCCCTTTTTGGGAATGGCCTAAAGACACTACAGTCAGTGGCACTGCCCGAGGGGGGGGGGGGGGAATAGATGTTTGATAGGAAAGAAGAAGCAAACCACACCAGAGCACCCACCAACCACCCACAGAAAATCTTCACGACAGCCAGAAGGGAGCAAGGACAGGCAAGTATGCAGCGTGCTCACCTTCAGGGAGGCGACTCCCACCCCGCCCCGAGGCACCTCCATGGACGCGATGAAGCCCCACAGGTCGGTGCTGGGGTCGTAGCGCTCCACGGTGTTGAAACAGGTCGCGTCGTCCAGACCCCCTACGGCGTAGATAACTCCGCCCAGGCAGCCAATGGCAATCCCTCGTCTGAGAAGGCCAAGACAGAGATCATTTTTATGTCAGCAAATTCTTGTTCGGTACAATGTTATGTAAATGACTATATCCATTTATGTATTTTGCGAATTGCTTTGTGTATATTATTTTATTATGTATTTGTATTTGCTCATTTCGTAACGATGTGTAAATGTGAGTGTGTGATTAGCAAGTAGATGTGTGTGTGTGTGTGTGTGTATGTGTGTGTGTGTGAATACTGTTCGTACATGCATTTATGTAAAGCGTTTAGAGCTGTGTTCACACGGGAGTGGGCGAAATAGAAATGATCTACATTATTATCATTATTACCATAAGGCCATTGTCAGAATAAGCATTGATGTGTACTGCTCTTTCGAGTATGTATCTATAAAACTCTAAAGGTTTCTGACCGCAAGCCACTGGGAGTGGTGTGCCGGAAATAAAGAGATAAAAGACCTAAATTTTGTCGATGAGGGTGTAAAAACATCTTAATTAAATTTTGAAATCAAACACACAAACACAAATAAACCTGCTTTAACTCTTTAAATCCTGAGTTTTTTTTCCACCGTTTCCTGGAGTTTTTTCTACAGTCACCTAAACCTGGACCTCTATGTCTCATTATAACCCCAAAAACTTGCCCCCAACTTCTAAAAGGTGAAAACATTACTAAAAAACTTGGTTCGCGAATAGTTCCGAAAAACAATAAAAAACTAGCACCAAATAAAACGCAACAGTTGTCACTAGTGCTGGATGCTACTATCGTCCGATGGGGTTAAAGATGAAAGTAGCAGCAGAGAACCGACCTGAGAGTGGCCATGTGTGCGATGGAGCTCCACGAGTTGGTCTTGGGGTCAAACACCTCTCCACTCCGCAGATGTTCGCTGCCGTCGTGACCTCCCACAGCGTACAGCAGGCCTGCACACAGGGGGAACAGTTTGAGTAAGGTTTGTTATAGAAAGAGTTTTACGGTACTTGCAACACAATAAGGTCATTGAAGTGCCGAAGATTAGAGGTGTTACAAGAGAGTAACAAACGCAAAAAAGAAGGACGGGAGATAAAGACGACAGATGTTTGATAGGAAAGAAGGAGCAAACCATACCAAAGCACCCGCCAACCACCCACGAGGTTTATGATCAACCGACTCAAGGTAGTTAGAGAAATATGAACATTTCCAACAGTCACTTCACACACACAGCTACTTGTTTTAAAAATAAGACATTTCTAGACAAAACGCAAGAAAGTAACGCCCCTTTCGCAAACGAAGTGAAGCTGGTGTTGAAAACCGTAAAGGCATATCTGGTGCCTTGTCACCATCATCATCCGGAGTCTTGCCGACTGGCGTGGGCGATCATGGACCTCCACTTCACTCTGTCTTGCGTTGCAGCAATGGTGTCTGTCGTTCTTGCTGTTCCCAGCCATGTTGTCAACTTGTCCAGTATCTTTTCCCTCTGTCTGCCTCTACCTCTCTTTCCATCAAACTTGCCTGTTGTTACAATATTCTCCAATGCCATCGGGGTGTAAAACACTTTCAAGTGGTAAATGTAGAATATGCCTTTACGGTTTTGAATACCAGCTTCACTCAGTTTGCAAAAGGGGCATTACTATTTTAAGTTTTGTCTAGAAATGGTTTCTGAATTCTAACACAAGTTGGTGTATCAAGTGTGTGACCAACAAACACATAAACAGAAGTAACTCCATGTGGGAACCCCATTGCAGACACTGTGACTACCACGAGGAGACTGTTGAACATCTTCTCCTTCACTGCCCAAACCTGGCAGTTCTTTGACGCAGGCTCCTACACACACCTACAGACTTACAAAGCCTGCTCTACTCTGGCGTTGACCAGATGACAAGGACATGTGGTTACTTGAGGGAGGCGTTGCACTGCCAAGAGCGAAATGCTCGCAGCTAAAGGGAATTGAAAACAACAAACAACAACAACATCATGTGTGTGAAGTAACCCTGTATAACTTCATGGTAGCTGCGGCGACTCACCGTTGACAGAACAGACTCCGACGTGGCGGCGCCTGGTTGTCATGTCTGCCACAGGGAACCAGCGGTCCTGGCACGGGTCGTAGCACTCGATGCTTTTGAACGGGTCGCCCGACGCTCCACGCCCACCCACGCAGAACAGAACTCCTGGAGGGGGGGGGGGGGGGGGCGGGGGACAGACGAGTCAACAGTGATGTTGTAGAAGGATGGAAGGAACAAAAAAGTCAACAGTGATGTTGTAGTTTAGTTTAGCTTTAGTGAGACTTTAAAAAAGTTTTAGTAAGACCTTTACGGTGCTTGCAACACAATAAGGACCTATAAGTGCCGAAGAATAAAGATGTTACAAGAGAGTAACAAATATAAAAGAGGGGAGGGGGGGGGGGGGAATCACTGTTAATGAAGAGGAGCAGAAACATGCCCAACATGCCCAACATGCCCTCTAACAATCCACGGAGAGACTATCCGCTGAAACACATTCGCGAGAACTCACAGGACCTTCGAGCCAAACCTTTCGATATGGCCAGAAACTAGCCCACAGAATAAAAAACCAAAAACTCAACAACACATATTGTGACCCCAGTGCTTTCTTGTCCTATCTCCATTTTTAATAAAAGCCATAACAGTTCATAACAAAGAGTGAGCTTAAGAATATGTCACATTTTCACTGTTAAAATTATGGAGATACGAGAAGAAAGCACTGAGGTCGCGATATCTGAATATGAACTAAATATGACAGTTATGGATGTAACTCATCATAATCCAGTGCCAGATCTGTGACAGACATCGGCGATCATGGTTCTCCATTCATTCCTTTGCTCGGATGCTCTTAAAAAAGCTACGTTTCCCTGATCTTTCCACGTTACCCATTTCTTTAGGTTCCCTAAGTAGGTTGCTCTGGGCCTACCCCTGCCTCGTTTGCTTTCAATTTTGCCAGTGAGAGCTAGATGTTCAAGACCCTTATGTCTATCCAGGTGTCCCAAAAACTGCATTTGTCGTTTCCTGATTGTTCTGAACAGTGAGCGTCCCACGTGGACTTCATTAAGCACTACCTCATGTAACTAGTTAAAAAAACACATAAACCCACCCGCATAGCTTTTCCGCGGCCTCGACCTCTCTGTGACCTTGACCTCTGGCACGATGCTGGCCAGGGACATCTGGTAGTACTTGGCCTCGTCCACAAAGTCTCGGCACACAAAGCTGTTCCGGATCAGCTCGTCCTTCTCCACATGCTCCATCAGGAACATCGGATCCAACAGCGGCAGTTTTACCTGTGGGTGGTCAGGGAAACATGACAACATGACACACAAACATGACAACATGACAACATGACACAAAAACATGAAAACATGACACACAAACATGAAAACATGACACAAAAACATGACAACATGACACACAAACATGAAAACATGACACAAAAACATGACAACATGACACACAAACATGAAAACATGACACAAAAACATGACAACAT